AATTGTAGACTCTCAGAAGTGCAAAGAAACTTAGTGATAAAGTATAAAACATCAGAATTTGAATTATTTCTTAGCATAAATTCTAAGTGATTACTTCTAGAGAAAATATAGATCATTACATTTCAAAGCAGCCTATTTCACCTCCTGATGTCTCTCAATAAAGGTCTTCTTTATATTAGTATAAAACTTGTTAACTTTTATCATTGATCCTGGCCTAATCTGGGGGCCATAAACAAGAATAATCTTTATTTTCCATGCTAGAATACTGGTTATTTGAAGGTAGTAATCATATCACAGACCATTCTTCCCTTTTCCAATATAATAATCCCTGGTTCTTAAAATTCTTCCCTATATGAGCTTCACTTCCTTTGCAATTTTGGTTAGCCTTTTTAAAATGTGAGCTTTTTTATGCATGACTATATACTTCAGACATCACAAATAGTGTTCTGTCCATCCCATCCCCTGAAAGTCTTGCTGGAGGTGGAGGAAGTAGCATCAGAAACTGATGCTCACGGGCTGTGGATTCTGTCCAAGATGGTGGTGTTGGTGGACTTGTAGGTGGGGGTGAGGAAGGCAGGACTGGCTGTGCCTAGGGTGAAATTTTAAGTCTACACTTAGCACAGGAAAGCTGTTAGGGCCGACCTAAATTCTATCCAAGCAAGTGTTGGTATTTTAAAGGTCACCTACTAGGAGAGAAGGACAATTCACTTTATGGAGGTAAGTTTGCTTCTCAGGTGGGAGTCAGAGGGTCAATCAGAGTCACTCAAAGCACAGAATAGCCTGGGACAGATCTCTGTGGTCTAATAGTCACATTTTATAAGATTATGCTAGTGATTTTCAAGGATGATAGGAATAGGGAGAGGGCCAAGAGTAATCAGAAATCAGAAAAATAATTAGGAGAGTACAATATTACAGAAGCCAAAGTATCAAGGAAAAAGATTTTTTTTTTTGTCCTTTTTGTGACCGGCTGCACCGCGCTCAGCCAGTGAGCGCACCAGCCATCTCTATATAGGATCCGAACCCACGGCAGGAGCGCTGCTGCGCTCCCAGTGCCGCACTCTCCCGACGGCAGGAGCGCTGCTGCGTTCCCAGTGCCGCACTCTCCCGAGTGCGCCACGGGCTCGGCCCGGAAAAAGATTTCTTAACAGACGTTTTTTATGTATAGTAACTGACAGCAATTTACAGCAATAAAAAAAAAAGGAAAGAAAAAAGTATTAGTTTTATTTATTTTTCTTTTCGAAGAGGATTATGCTCGTATGCTGAGGAAACCAATGCATTCCACAGCTGAAGATGCAAGAAAAAGATAGGGTTAAGGAAAATCAGAGCGGATACTTGATTGAAAGAAATGTAAAAAGCAAAAGTAGAAAACTGAAGATTATGTCACACTGTCTATTTTCAGTCAAGTTAATGTTTTTGTAGAGAGTGCGAATATGAGGATACATTGGTAGAGAAGGAGGAAGAGAATCTATTTATCTCTCTTGCTCAAGAAGCTCAGAGATAGGCAGACCAGAGTAGGCGACCAGGGTTTGTTTGGTGGTTCCAAGTCTTGAGGAACCCTAGCTCATCCTATTTTTGCTTCAACATCCAAGTCGATGGCTTCTACCTTGACATCATGTTTCAAGATAGCTGCCAGATCTCTATCCATCACATCCACATGTGCTGGCTAGAAAGGCACAAGTCCTACTGGCCTAGTGGCTATCAGTATTGTTTGGTATTCCTCTACAGGAAAGATTTGCCCCTTCTCTCCCATTTTTTTGTTAAACCATTTATATTAGGATGGACTCATGAATATTTTACTCTTTAGATTGTAATCTATTGCACCGTTATTTACTTCATGGCTCAAATTATTCCAGTTTTGGTCATGGGGAACAAAGTGTTTTACATAAATTATTGAATTCTCCAACAATCCAGTGACACAGATATTATTTTCCTTATTTTGTGGAAAATAGGCTCAGAAAGAGTAAGAAACCTTCCCAATGATTCCTGTCATATGTGGTGAAGCCAGGATTTATACCTAGTAGTCTGACTTCAGAGTCTATGCACTTAGCTTTTCTATGCTGCTTTCCAAGGGAAAGGATGCTCCACAAATGTCAGTCAGAGGTAAGGCATCTAATCACCTCTTCTTAGAGGTGAAATAAAACAATTTTGAGGAGATTCATCATAAAGGTAATAGCTGTAAAACAGATGAGCTTCCAGAAGGACACTATATAAAGAAAGAACCACAAATGGTCAGAACTAAGACTGTTGCCAGGGAGGAGAAGGGAAGAGTGGCTAACAAAGAGGAGGAATGACAGGAGGGTGTGGGACGACTGATGTCATGGAAGCCCAAGAGACAAGTTCAATGAAGGTATAATCGATTTGGTTGCAGGGCCATAGACTATCAGCCCGTGGTAAGAAGGGAGTTAAGTGAACTGTAACAATGCAGTATAATAGAAGGGTGGAAAACAAAACCACATTTCAGTAGATCAAAACTATTTCAGAGAAGGAGGTAAAGTAATTTAATAAGGAAAAGAATGCAGGATCAAGTAATTCCCCCCTGCCCCCCAGGATGGAGGGAGACCTGTGCACAGAAAGTCTATAGAGGAGAGAGTCTCTGGAGCAGGAAGTGTAGAAGGTACATGCATGAATGAGAGAAAAGACAGACGTTAACTTCGAAGTCTGGGGAACCTCTCCTCCTCAACACTGGAGGTAAGCCTAAGAGACCAAGGATAGTGGTATTACTGGGGTGAAGGTACAGACACACTTAGGATGATGTTCTGTTTTATTAGTAAAACTGGAAGCAAGGTCATCTGCAGACAGTGAGGGATGAATCAGAAAGGTATCACCAATTCCCAAGAGCAGCCAACATCCCTGGGTTCCTGTTCGGCGGGCTTGGTAAAATAGGGGCAAGCTGGAGTGACTCACCGTGACAGGAGCCATCCACTTAAGCACAAGCAGAAATCATCAACAGATTATCTGGACTTTTACTTGATTTTTTTCAGATCGAATAGTTAAAATTGAGTTATTTTACATAATTCTTAGACAAAAGACTCAGATGGTTAGCCTTTCTAAAATGTTCAGAGTTAAGTATGATGCTAGTTTATCACCTAGTTGTTCAGAAAAATCCTTAACAACTGTAATGAACAAATATAAATACCAATGTAAAAATAATTGTTACTAGACTAAAAACTTTATTTTTCTCAGGAATTTTTATTCAATCAATTTTAATTGCAGAGTTCTTGGTAAATGCTCAACAGTTATGAATTTAAGGCCAAAGGTTTCTGTGTCATTTATATTTATTAAAGAGAGAGCCTAGGTTTTGGCAATAATTTTTCTAATCAACAAATTATAGCTAATGAAGGTTACTTCAAATTTCTTCATAAATATTCTTAAGACATTATTTATTAAAATAGGGTTTGATCCCTGTACCAGCCAGCTGCCAAAAAAAAAAAAAAAAAGAAAGAAAAAAATATGGTTTTGGGTTTTAATGTGAGATACAACAATACTACATTTATAACACTGATAATATAGGTTTAAAAAAAACAGTTAATTATAGAAGTATTTTAATTTATGAAGATAATGAAAGCATATTTTTAATATTTAGGTAAAGGCCAAAACATCTAGAGGCAGAAGTGTATAAAAAGTTTATAAATTGTTGACTTAACATATCCTTAACTATTATATATTGCCTTTATGTAACATAGTATAATAATATATACTACGCTATATACTTATAGTATAATAATGTTATACTGTAAGTGATTATTTCCTTTATATGGACCAGAAAGAAGAACTTACATTAAACCATATTATTCATACTTGGTGATTATTTTATTACCATATATATTATTATTGTATACAATTTTGTTTGATAATAAGTAAGGACATTATAAGTCATACTTTAAACAAAAATGTATATATGGCATATGTAAGCAGTAACATTCCGAAGAAGGAGAAAAGCCATAAAAACATTTACCTAAAGTTTAGTAATACTGAAAAACACTTATTTGTTCATAGCAATGATTGAAAGTTTCATAATACACTGGAAAACTGGTAAATCTTCAGGTACTGTAAAAACCAAGTGGTATAGGAAAAGTTCAAATTAGACACATCATCTAATAATAAATCCCTCAGTATAGTAGTACACTAAGCATTCTTTCTTTGTTTGGCACTTAACAATACAGACAAAAGTGTATTTGTTTAATGTGATTTATTATTCTTAGATAAATTTTAGTTATATAGATAAAAATATACAATATTGCTTTAAAAACTTTCAATTTTATAAGTGTATAATTGATTGTCATCATATTCACAATTTAAAACACCTATTTTCTCCATTAAACAATTCATCCAATAACATGTGGAAGAAAATAACAAAAACGGTTTATATAAAGACTTTTAATAAAAAGTTTAAATGTAAAAATAGAATATCAATTTAGACCAATGGCCTACATCCTCAGTGATACCTCATGCTGGAAACAAATAATGAAATGTTTGAGACAAAAACACTTAAATTGATTCTACAGATTCAAAATTTTGACTGAAACTGCATAGAATTGAGAGATATTTTGTCTGCGTGACTTTTATATACATTAACTTACCAAAAAAAAAAAAGAAAAAAGAAATGAAGTGTTTTATTTTAATACTACATCTCAGTTTGAGACTCCATTAGATTTTAAAAATAATATATGCAAAACATATGCCCTTTAGATGTCATATTTAAATAAAAGAATGGCAGATAATGGCATTTTTTTCTTTGAAGTCATCTGAGGACAGTAAAGTTGGTAAGGTGATTAATTTGCCTCATTGGTAATAAGTCATTATATCGTAAAAACAAGCTAATGTTTGAAGGTAAACTGTGTAGCTGTCTTTTTCTTGATACCAACTTAAATGCAGTTCAATTCATTATATGATTTCCTAAAAAGACACACTGATAAAATATGTAAAACCCAAACAAATTATTGATGTGCATATACAAAAGTATAAGGTAGGGACTATTTTTAAATGAAAGATTGAAAATATTTTACAAATAATTTTGTTCATTTATATCTATATAATCAACCATTCATTTCACTCTTTACAATGCTTTTCACAAAACATTGCTATCTTCAATCTTAACACTCCCAAATATGAGAAAAACAAATAATTTCCACTGTTCTAAGAAGTGAAATTTATAAAGTCCACATAACATATCATAAAGGATTATAGACCTAAAAGTTTTCAAAGACAATTTATACACATTGAAATGGGTGCTTTGCTTAATTTAATTAAAAAGCTAGAAAAGTTGCTTCTTTTCAATGCAGTTTAATGAACATAGTTGCATTTAACAGCAGATTTTCCACACTGCGACATTCAACAATCATGGTGGAGATTGCAATAAACGTAAACAGTGGTGTAACTTTTTCTTCTGAAAACACTGTTAAATGTAAGTGCTACTGTCTTAATATTTACATAAGAATTAAGGAGTAATTTGGAAAGACATTTTGCTTTTAAGTTTTTCAACTTAAGGCACACAGCAACATTTAAAGTCTAGAAGCAAACAGATTATGTAATAAATAATTATCTTTTCAATCATTATTTGCCCTTTACCTGAAAAAAGTAGGTGAGTAGTGCAGTTAAAACATGCCTGAATAAAAATGATTGAATTTAGGAAATATTTGTGCACAGAATGTCATTAATTTAAAAAAGAAAAAGAATATTTTATACAAAATATACATCCTACAGTGTTTTAGAGGAAAATGTGAGGCACTTAGATTAACAGTGAAGGAGGAAAGCACTGAGATAATTTTTTTAGAAAAGCACCAAACCATTTATTTTAACATCCAAGATAAAAGCAGAGTCTAAACTATATAGAAATAGTCTAGTTTCGTAACTTTGTATTTGATGGATTAATAAGAATCCAGAAGTTCAAAACTCAAGTATTTCATAATTCCAACAGAGAACATTTTTTAATTTAAAAGAGTCTTATTAAAGTTCTTCTGAATAAGTCTTGCATATTTTGTGTGCTCAAAATAATGTGAAATGTAGCTGTTATCTCACTACTCTGTGGCAGTACACTTTCTATTTTAATGACTTTAGTATAAGCAATTTATGTAATTTTGATATTTTTTAAACTCCTTTTAAAAAAACAGAAGTTAAAATTTGGTTTGGAATAACAATGCAAAAAACATGCATCACTGCCTCCGTGTGAATTTGCTGAGATCAAACACTGACAGTTTTATTTTCTGTAATCCTTCACAAACTAATCTAATCCAAAACCAAGGTGAAAATTGGATTTGGAATTAAAGGAATCCACTGGATGTGAAATCAGGGAAAGGTCTGGTTTCTGACGGATGATGAAGTGGCTGAAGATGTGTGGTAGTCTGAGTTTTATTTATGTTATTTAATTCAGCTGGATATGTTTCATTTAAAACTCCTCCATCCTGGAACTGAAAACAAAAATAGCAATGCAACTATTAGGAAAGATCTTTCAAATATCTTAAGCCATTAAATATTAATATATATTTTAAAATCTTAGTCCTGCCTGTTGTTAAACTTCAAATTCCTTTACTGTTGCTTAATTTTAAATCTTCCATTCAGTGAAGATATACACTGAGTACATATTATTTATTAATTACATTTATAACCTTTTGGTTTTTCCATTAATTTGACAAGAAATTTTGAAGATGGTATATGAGTGATACAACTGCCTCACTTTGGATTGCCTTTGGATCCGACAGAAATTGATAGGGCAAAGAGTACCACTTATGAATCACAGTTAAGTATTCTCTGCTGTAAGTAGATTTGCTTTAACAAGACTTCATCTCAGTCAAGTTCTGGGTGTCAATGAATTGTTTATATTCAGAATTACTACACTGGACTACAGATGACCAAGGACTTTTCCAAAAAAGGCCAGCTCTGATTTTCTAAAGATTTCTTGATATTCCTAAAATACTACATCATGGGTTTGATTTCCTTAACCAATTTCTTATTCAATATACTTTTAATTAATAAATACCACTAATAGCATTGTCTTAATTACAGAACTAAGTCATCAAAAGAAAATGTTCTTTCTTGCCTTCTATGGAGATACATAGTTCTGTAGAGTTCTATAGATTACAGAGCCTTTATATTTTAGTATATTGTTAATAAAAGTTGTGGAAACTTTTAAACAAATTAAAATCATACCTTTGTGTCAAATAAAATCTAACTTTCTAAAGTCTGTGTAACATTAGATTTCAGTAATGTAAACACTGATTACTTCGAAGGTCCTCCATAACAAATACTAGATATATAGTAAAAATTATATAGTCTATATCTTCAATAAATGGAAACTTAGTCAAGTCTTCAAATAAAAGGTAGTATTATTTCCCAGATAATGGTGGGTTTTAAATGAATTCTTCTCAATACTCATAACACAATGCATATCTGTTCTTCTCTGTAAATATATTGTATAGAGGAGTGTTGCCCCATAGAAATATAATGTGAGCCACGTATGTAACTTTAATTTTTCTAGTAGCTACATTAAAAAGTAAAAAAAAAAAAAAGTGAAATTAAGTTTAATAAGATATTATATTGAACCTAATATAGCCAAAATGTATAGAGGAGTGTTGCCCCATAGAAATATAATGTGAGCCACGTATGTAACTTTAATTTTTCTAGTAGCTACATTAAAAAGTAAAAAAAAAAAAAGTGAAATTAAGTTTAATAAGATATTATATTGAACCTAATATAGCCAAAAATTTAACATTTCAACATGAAATCAGCAAAAAAAAAAGAGAAATTTTACATTTTCTCAAGCAAAGTCTTCAAAATCTGGTATGTATTTCACACTTACACTTACGCCACATCTCATTTAGGACCACCTACATTTCAAGTGCTTAATAGCCACATGTAATTAGTGGCTCCCCTGGGGGAATATGGGAGAACTATTATTTTTCACGAGAAACCATACAAAGTAGTGGAGGGAAAACACTGTAAAAAACTCGTGGTACTTATGTGACCTCTCTATTCAAAATGTAATTTTACAGAATTAATTTCTGTAAAATTTACTTTACTTGAGAGTAAAATATGCTTACATTACAGCAATGTTGTGAGACAGTGACTGAATATTAAATTTTAATATAATTGAAGGATGTCAGGAATGAGAACAAGAAAAACCTTCACCATCATTTTCTTAAAAAGCTCATATATAATCAGATAAACCAGATTTATGAAAAAAGCCAGAAAAAACAATTAGGGATAAAGATTTGAGTTACATTTCTAAATTACCATACTCTAATACATAGTACACAGAGGTTAATGAACCTAATTTTAGTTAAGATAGTCTTCAAAACTAAATTTAGATGTATTTTAAAATAAAGTAGCTATTTTCTAATGAAAAAGCATGAGTGCAAACAATATATTGCTGGATGGCCACAGACAACAGCTATTACCATCATGTTGACGTAAAAAAAATAATTTTTAGATTTAAAGTGTGCTTGCTGCTAGAAGGATTCCGATGACACATTTAAATAATAAAAATACAATATCAACCTTGATTCCTGTGACAGAAAGCCAGCTGAGTACCCTTTCTTAAAAATGCAAGAAAACAAAACATTCCACACATCAAAAGATAATATGAGTATAGGGCACATGACATGGAGGGATAGACAGAGAACACTGAGAAGCTTAGGACTGAATTCCAAGGATAATCTAGGACAAAGACATTCTTTTTTTTTTTTCCTTTTTGAGACCAGCCACACTGGGATCCGAACCTGTGGCAGGAGCGCTGCTGCGCTCCCAGCGCCGCACTCTCCCGAGTGCACCACGGGTTGGGCCCTAGGACAAAGACATTCTAAGAAAGCACACCTTTTTGAGACCAGCCACACTGGGATCCGAACCTGTGGCAGGAGCGCTGCTGCGCTCCCAGCACCGCACTCTCCCGAGTGCACCACGGGTTGGGCCCTAGGACAAAGACATTCTAAGAAAGCACACTTATATTTGATTTTAACCCAATTTCAAACATATATAAAAAAATTGAGCTTTGAAGAAATTTTAAAAATTAAAATACATATCAAAGTTTGAATTTTTAAATAGCCGTATGATTTTTAAAGACTCAAGAAAGATAAATCAAATTCTTTATTCTAAACATGATAACTTTGAACTAACTTGACCTGGTAATTTAGGTCATCTTACATTAGAGGACATATTCATATTGCTTTAGCCCTTGACTTTTTTCTCTTTCATGATTTGGGTAAGTATGACACACTTTTGATAGCAACATATCGGAAAAAGTACAGGCTTATTAAAGAAAAATATATAGTCACAAATACAATTAGAAATGCTGCCTCCATGAATACTACAGATAATAAATTAAAATCAGTCACTGACATAAAAAATTCATAACTCATGTCTATTTATTTATAATTTAAGAAGAAACACTGAAAGGGTGTACTCATTTCAATAAAACCCTTACCTTGTTTAAAAATGCCTGTGGGCCTGGCATGGCTGGATCATACTGCATCTGATCCACATGCGTGTGCTGAGGTTCTGGCTGGCAATGATACATTGACACGGCCCCAGCATAACATGTCTGAGGAGTTACCATGGCTGACTGTGGATTTATTCCATGCTTTTGGTTTTCAGGAACTTGTAAACAAGTGACAAAATCTTCTAAATTAGAAGAAGTAGTAGGGTATGGGGATGGTTCAAAATTCCCTATAGGAAAGTCCAACTGAGTACACTTGGAATGCTGTGGTAACACAGACTGATTACAGGGAATAAAGTTCTGTGTGTAAGGCATAGTATCAATCTCAGATCTGTATGGAATCTCTTGGCTGGTCCCATGTAAGTCTGAAAAGATATTATACTGTTGTAGATCTTGCTGAGGAAAGCCAAAAGGCACGGATTGGTTAGAGTTCCAGTTTGCAAACATGCCATTGACTTGCATAAGCTTCATTTTCTGACACAGTTGTTGCTGTGGCTCCACTACAACTTGGTTTCGGTGGTGCTGCAGCTGCTGCTGTTGGTCTAACTGTAGGTGTTCCTGTACCATACAGCTTGAGTTCAGAGCCATGGGCTGTTGCTGCTGGTAAGATGAACACATGAAGGCAGACTTATTTAAAGAATCTTGGACATATGTCAGGATTTCGTCTGCTATATCAATGTCTCTAAAGTCGACCTCACCAGAAAACTCATTTCTGAAAAATTTCTCATTCTGCATGTGTTTAATATCTTCAAAATCAAGGCCTAGATTTTTCATAATGCTGTATAAGTCACTATTTTTACTATCTGGAAAGAACCCTGTGTGACCTCCAGAGAGTGTTGGGTTCATTTCCTGAGACTGATCAATTTGCTCATGTTTCAAGATATTATCACTTCCCATTGGTGCAATATTGTCTTGCCAATTACTGCATTCATTCATAGATTCCTTAAAAAAATTCCTTTCCAAAGGGACAGTACTTGAAGCAGGATAGAGATATATAGCCTCATCTTGTTGCATTAGGGCACCTAAAAGGGAACTGGGATTGAGAGAATCCTTATTTAGAGTTGATTTGGTATCAGAGTCTTTTCCACTTGTGCTATTTTTAGTCCTTATTGGTAAGGGATCCATTATGGAAGGAAAAGGGCTGGTTATCTCATACAACACAGCTTCTCCAGTGGTAAACATAAAAGGCAACTTCGTATTTCGTTTTCGTAAATGCTCTGCTCCTTCTTCATCTCTAAAATAGCAAACAAGAAAGTCTGCATGTATTAGAAAGAGTTCTAACATAAACACTTAAAATACATGTCTTGATTTATCAAAAACAATTTAAAATAAAATAATTAAAACAGAGAACAACAGCAAGGAAAAATATACTCTGAGTTTGACAGCAGGAAACATGGACTTATTTTATTTTGACTTGATTATTCTCATGACTGGTGCTATAAAATTGTGTTTTAAACAAACATATTTAAATGATTTAGTTCCTTCCCCAAAACTTAAGATAATAGTTACTTCCATACTCAGGTTACATGCCCATTTGACATCCTGTAGGAAAAAAAAATGTTTGTGTGGAATAAACATTTGAATATAAGAACAAAATCTGAGAATTTAGAAATCTGAGTAGAAGAAGCATATCTAAATAAAATATAAAACTCAGAAGATATAAAGGGAAAGACTGGTATAATAAGCAACATAAAAATGAAAACTTTCAGTATTTTTACAAAAGAATTCATAAGTCAAGTTAAGGCATGGAGAAGGTATTTGTTAATATATATATTTATAATTTAATATGAATATAGAATTTCATATCCATAATAGGTAAAGAATTCCAATCGAAAACTTTCAGTATTTTTACAAAAGAATTCATAAGTCAAGTTAAGGCATGGAGAAGGTATTTGTTAATATATATAATATATTTATAATTTAATATGAATATAGAATTTCATATCCATAATAGGTAAAGAATTCCAATGAGTCTGAGAGAGAGGTAAACAACTCAATAAAAAAACAGGCAAATGATATGGAGTTGCAATTCATAGAAGAAAAATGTCCTAGAAAGATATAAAGAGATGCTCTGCCTCATTAGTAATAAGACAATAAAAACTAACCTCTCTTAGAACAAGCATATAAAATATCAACAAATGTATACAAATATGAACGACACAATTAACAAACAGGATCACTGATATATAAAGAACACCATACTCCTAAACAGAACATGTATTCCTTACAAGAATACAGGGGATATTTTACCAACATTGACCATACATTACATGACAAAGTAAGCAACCAAAAATTTCAGAGGACTGACTGATATCCTTTCAGAGGATATCCATTCAGAAACTGCTATCTGACTACAGTGGAAATAAGCTAAAAGTCAATTACAAAAAGACAACTTGAAAAATCCCCTAACATGGAAAATTACAGGAATGCTACCTTTCTAAACAATTCATAAATAAAAATGAAAATTAGCAAATATTTTCAATTGAATGATAAAAAGAAGACATATCAAAACATAAGGGTTGTAGTTAAAATTTTGCTTAAAAGGAAGTTGATACATATGTTTAAATATATATTAAAAAAGAAAAACTTTTTAAGAAAAAAATTAAGTAGAAGGAAGGAAATAATAATGAACAGACATAAATGAAATGGAAAACAAATGTGCAATAGAACAAAATCAACAAACCAAAAGTTAGATCTGGAAGAGACTAATAAAATCTATGGCCTTCTAGCAATATTGATCAAGGGAGACGGTACAAATTTGGGTGAGTACATACATGCCCATGTACTTATATGGGTACATACGTACAAGAGTATTTTGAAAAGTTCATGAAGGATTCACATTTTCCTTTAATTCCATTTTTCCACGAACCTTTTGAAATAACTACATATATACATACATTCACCATTTTCATGGGTTGGAATACTCAGTAGTATGAAGATGCTAAATTCTTCCCAAATGACCTACAGTTTTCATGTAATGCCACTCAAAATCCCAACAGATTTTCTGGTGGAAATTGACATCTGATTTCTAAAACGTATAAGGAAATACAAAGGGTAGAAAACAGCCAAAGCAATCTTGAAGGGAAACAACAAAAAAAGCTAAACAAACAAACTGAAGACGTATATTCAGATATCACAATTTATAATAAAGATAGAGTTCTAAGACAATTCAATGTGGTGCAAAATAGACAACTAGACCAATGGAACCTGAAGAGCTAGGTCCAGAAACAGAACCACAGACATAATCCCCTAATCAAAATGCAGTGCCGTGAGGAAAAGATGACCTTTTCAATAAATATTATTTGTTAATTGGATATACATAATAAGGGGGAAAAAATCAATTTTGATCCTTACCTAAAGCCACATACAAAAATCAATTATTCAGAGTGGGAAAAAACATTTGCAATACGAACATTTGAGAAAGGACTAATTTCTAGAGTATACGAGGATACTTCAAAAAATTACTGAAAAATGAAATTAAAAGATAATACAAATCTTTCCAGGAACTTTTTGAAGACCCCCTCATATAAGATACTCTTACAAATCGCTGCTGTGCTTAGAGAACATATTCTAAACAAAGCATTGTTATATTTTTCTTCTATTTTACAGATGACACTAGCTTTTCATCTTTCCTTCATATGCCCAGGATAAAACCCTGGAGTTTTATTTGAATATTGATTATTCTTTCTCTAGGTCTACATCTTCTCAGTGTCTCTCATCTGTTTTCTCTTCTTTCTATACATATTATCTTAACTTTTCAATTTTTATTCCGAGACTAAATTCTCTTAGAATTATTTTTATGTTTTCACGTAAGAGGATTTATAAACCAAATTTTTATTTAAAAAAAAATGAAAACAAAACATTTTAAGTGTTCGTGCTTACGTTAGAGGTCTCTGAGTTGCAATGATATAATCTGGTCTTCCATTTTTATAAACTAAGCGTGCATTAGACTGGATCCATGCCCATCGATTGTTTTTTGTCAGAAGCCTGAAAACTATCATGCCACTTTCTCCAGTCTTCATCACTAAAATAAAAAAAATTAAATTATCAAACTCCTGAAACAAAGCCTTTTTGACGTATTTCTGGATGTATTTATCACCAAAGATGATAAATATCTAGACAACTTTTAAACACAGAATATTAAAAGGCATGGAAATAGTTCTTCAGAGTTGTTTTTTATCCTTTTGGACTAAATTTATTATTTAAAATGTTAAAGGAAAGATTAAGTACCAGTCAGACAATTTTAGTGAAAAGTACAGAGAGTATAGATTGGGAAAAAAAAGAGTGAAAATTGTTTTCATTTTAAAGAATTTTCATTTAAGCATTTTTCCTACTAAAAATTGTTTTCATTTAAACGTTTTCCTACTGTTTACTAATTTAAAATTTTAAAGTTTAAATCTCTATTTACATTGATTCATGAATTTAAAACAATGCCCTTAAAACAGTCCTGAGCGATCAAGATGTGGAATAGACAGTCCCCAGTGCCACTCTCTCCCACAATCGACCAATTTACAACTATTGAAAAAGCGAAAACAGCCAAGCTGGGTCTGCTAGAGCTCAGGGGAAGAGGAGGAGAGACTACGGAGTTCCTGAAGGTGGGAGAAGCTGCGATGAGAGAAAGAAGGGGCTGCAATGAGAGAAAGAAGGGACCGCTCTGACCGGGTTGAGTCCCAGCCACATCAAAGCTGGCATTGGTGAGCACACAGAGCAAGAGCTGACAAAAGCTGCAGCTGTGCCCTTTGTGTGAAGTTGCCTGGAGACTGCAGGGTAGAGGAGGGCCTTGGTGGCCCCCAGCCAGCAAAATCACTGACAGTGTTCCTGTGGACCCACATAGGAGCGAGGAGCTACAGAAAACTGAAAAAAGTAGCCACTTAAAGGCTGGTGAGTCATCACAAGGGACCGGCACATGGGAAGTGTCTGTAGCATGGACAGTGGTGGAGACAGGCCCACCTGGGGAACACTGGGGCACAGCATGGATAGCTGATCTGTCCCCCAATCAGCACAGGCCACTCAGTGTAGGTTGGTCAGGAGTACAGATCTGCAGGTGGTGCAGTTTGCTAAGACTCAGGCCCAGACCAGAGTTTCCACACAACCCAAGTGTATTGGACCTCACAAGACCTGGAAGTGATTAAAAGGTCAAGAATTAAAAACTGAGCTGCACAAAAAGCCTTCCCCAGAGAATCAGCAGCAAAGCAGAAATTTAGCTCAACCACAGGGCTCAAGTGCTGGTACCCATAGGAAGTTTCCCCATTTTAGAAGTAACCAAAGGACAACAAATTAGTTCCAGTGCAGAGTTTAAGTGGTGAGGGTAGCTAATAATCCAATACAGAAGTGAAAGAAAACACAAAACACCCACAGATCAGAGACAAAGGTCTGATATTAACCAGTAAAGGTCTAACACCAACAAAGAATAACTATAAAAACCTAAAAAAGCAACAAGCCCCCTGGGCTCCCGAGGTGGGGTGAGGAGGACCCGAGGGCTGCAGCCATGCCCTGCCAATGGATGTCCACATCCAGTCCAGTGATGACCTAGTTGCCACCAGAAACCCTCTGGGCTCTTGATCCAGGTTTGAGGGGCCCAGGGCCTCAGACATGACCCCCCTGATGTCCACATCCAGCCCAGTGATGACCAAGCCTCCACAGAAACCCTCTGGGCTTTTGAGCCAAGGTGGATGGGTCTGAGGGCCTCATCCACACCCCCTGATGTCTGCATCCAGCCCAGTGATGACTGAGCCACCACCAGAAATCCCCCAGGATCCCAAACCGGGAAGCAGGCTGAGGACTTCAGCCATGTTCCTTTGCCCTCCGAAACCAGGCCAGCGAAGGAGCTGGCCATGAGCCAGCCCTGCCCCCATCTCCACCTCCATTTTCCTATCCCCTCCTATCTGCCTCTCCCACTACTCTGCAACACCTTTGAATGTAAAAAATAATAATAACAAATTAAAAAAAAAAGCCCTGAGCAAAACTTAATGGGCTCAAATGGTCATTTTTTGTAGAAATTAAACTGCTATTTTCCTGTGTGGCAGCTGTAGAGGAGTTAATGGATAAAGAGTGTAATTCTGGTTAATCACAATGGTATGATACTAAATTGAAGTTTATCTAAATAGTTTCCTTAAACAGATTATCTTATGTAATAATTTGAAACATGTACTAGAGTATATGCTGTTCTTTCTGACATATTCATAAGGAACTACCACTTACTCCGGATATGGTACTCAGCACAATAAAACATATCAGCAGCATGAAGAAACTGATATCCTGATCCTCTTGTGCACAGCTCTGCTTCAGTATATCCTAAAACAATTCTTCCTCTGTTTTAAAAAAACGTAAAAAAAGAATGAATTAAAATTTAACATAAGTGAAGTAACCAAGATAAATGCATTGGCTATATACTATTTTCTGCAATATGTTTTACTTGGCATTCAGAATTTCACATCAGTAAATAGAAAAAATTACCACGTCTATGTAAATTGCTCTCTTTTGCTTATGGCTGCAAATTTTGATTTTAGCTTATTTTCTTCTCTTGAATAAAACCATGAAAATTAGTATAACTAAAAATATAGCAGATCATACAGGTAAAACAAAATTTTTAATAAAAATCTAGAAGGCTTATACTCCATTTTTGGGGAACAGGATTTTTCAAATTACCTCTCTGCATTCCCACATTAGAAAGGAAAAAGCATTGATACGTTTTGATACGATATGAATGCTTTTTTTTTTTTTTTTCTTTTTGTCTTTTTTCGTGTCCGGCAATGGATCGCAACCCTCAGTGTCGCACCCGTACCGGACCGGGACCGGCAACGGGATCGCAACCCTCAGTGTCGCACCCGCACCTCGCTCAGCCAGTGAGCAGGAACCGGTCTGTATGTGGGATCTGAACCCTTGGCGGGAGCGCCGCCGCGCTCCCAAGCGGCGCACTGTAGCAGTGCGCCACCGGGCTGGTCCATATGAATGCTTAATATCTGACAATACTTCATAATTTTCTAAAAGTTACTAAACTTCTATTTCTAAAAGACAAGTAACATTTTCATAATTTAAAAATGTAAAACAAACCAACAATAAATGTCATCAGAAGAATGAACCTTACTAATATAAGTACATCATCTTTTGTGGCAAGTATTGTAAAGAATTACAAAACAATAAGATGATGTGTGAGCCTAATAAAATTATTTTACTTTAAAAGGGTACATTGAAAAAATATGAAATAATAGTAGGTAATACAGTAATAAATATTACGATCTACACTATATATTTTACATGCTAACAGAGACAAACAAAATATACATTTGATGAAATCAAAGTAAAAAAGTTTCACTTACTTGGCATCACAATTAGTAGGTGTAAAATCTAGTTTGTGTTTGGTTCTAAAGATGAAATTTTTGGTTCGGATTTCAAGTATGGATGGTGGTTGTAGTGGGGTAGCTATTACAAACAAAGCCAACTGAGGCGTAAGTATTGATCCATCTTTCCCTTTCTTGTTCTGTCCATGAAGATACTTTAACTTCCCTTGGAAATTCATTGCCTTAAAAAAAAAAGTTCATTAAAATTAATAGTTTAAAATAGTTCCTCTTTAAAAGGCTCCATCATGGCTGTTTTCAGGGTTCTTGATAATTCCATAAAAGTTTCTGAGGCTGGAAACTGCTACCTTCTTTCACTCCTTTCTCTACATGAAGCCCATTAACACTATCCCAAAAGGTAATATGAGGAATATCCTAAAGGGATTGAGCTTCTTGCTTCTCATGGTCATAACGGGAATACCTGTATCATTTTCTGAGCTTCTCCAGGCACTAAGTATGTATTTCCTGAATGAATAAATAGTGATAAATCATCAAGTAAACCTTAAGTTTCAAACATACATCAGCTGTATTCCATAGCTCATGGTAATCTTTCCTACAGAGATAGGACAAAATAAAATTTTATTAAAACACTAAAATGAATCATTGTGAAATCATATAAATGCACAGCTCTATTAAAGATAAAGAATAATTTTAGAAGACAGAGGAAACAAAGACAATTTAACCATGAACATGATCAATTTTGTTGTTTAAAACAATATCATCCAGGCTAAGGAATGATTCCGACAACAATCTGATAGCACGAGGAAGAAAAGACCCTATTACACATACAAATTCCACCTCAGAAATACATACTAATTGATCTTGAGCATCAGTACTAGGAAAACTATCTCAAAGCATAATTCTAACTCTGGGTCAGCAAAATTATCTTCAGAAATAAACTCACAAAAAATGTTTAAGGTATGATTATGTTTCAAATTCCTGGTAATTCACAAAAAGAATATGTAATATGCTTTGTATTCTCTTCTCTTGTACTTGGTGGAGTGAGATGTGTTAAAAATACAACTAAGAGAACAGACCACCTCCACTCTGAGTATGCTGCTTAAGCTGCTTCCTATGGTTATCCCATGTAGATGGTCAGACTATGCAACCTGAAACAGCATCTCATATCAGATGATGATACTACAATCATGAACATACAATCATTTTTCTATATAGTAGTTATTCCAGACTGTTGGAAAAAGCCATAATTTTCCTGTCAGGCAGGCATTAAATCGCAGTATGGTAAGCAACCTCCCATAAAAGAAGGGCTAGATAATTCTCTTATACCTAGAAAAGTACTAAAAATAGTCAAAATAAAAGGTTTCATGTTATTTCACTAAATCTTTGTTACTATGTCCCAAAGGATAGGGTTTTCTGAGTTATAGAAGATATTCAGAATCTGAAATGGTGATTTTAAAAAGCTGCTTTCTTTTATCAAATTATCTGGTGGTAGATTTTTAAAACCAGATTCAAATATAACCATATAAAATTGGCTTAATTTTTCTTTTTATTTTCTACAACTTAAAAGTGTAAAGTATACTAAATTTGGCCTCAGGATGCCTCCGTGCCTTGAATCCTTACCTAACAAACTTCAACCCGATTTAGTACATAACTAACTGAAGGCCTAATTTAGGAGTACACTTACATAACAGATAGCTGAGTCTCAGCCAATTACAGCAGCTGAACTTTAGTCAATCACAGGAAACCAACCAATCAGACCATGTTCAAATAAGGTAAATGCCAAGCTATAACTAGTCAAGCTGTTTCTGTATCTCCCTTCTGATTTCTGTCTATAAATGCTGCCTGCCCCTGTTGCAAAGTGGAGTTCTCTAAACCTCTTCTGGTTCTGAGGGCTGCCTGATTTGGGAATCTTTCTTTCTTCAATTAAACTCTACTAAATTTAATTTGTCTAAAGTTTTTATTTTAACAAGAGTAAAAGCCAGTATCATAAGATTTTTCATCTTACTAGAAAACCAGATGAATTATCCAGTAGACATCTTAGTCTGCATGTGAAGCATCTCTCCATAATAGAAATGTTTTCTGGAGGAAGCTGGTCTGGGTTATAATAGACTCCTGGCTGTGGGAGGCGATGAGGTTCTGTAGAAATAAAAGCAACACAAATTTTACTTTCCATTTTTCTGTTAAATTAAGTGTCTGAATAGCTAAAATTTCCATTAATTTCTAAACCAGAGCCTGTATTCTGAATACAGAAGAAAAATCATTTTGAGAAGAATTAGTGAAAAGAAACTAAAACTTGTTGAATATCACTTTTACCATATATAACTTTACTTAGATTTTGTCTTTATTTTTACCGAGCTATCACTGTCAACAATACCCATATTTTCTAATATCTTTTTTGTTTTCCTAATACTTTCACAGATTTCTGAAGACACTATTTGCATTGAGAAAAGCTTTCTTATATTTGCATATGCTAATTTACTTTTTTATTTGGTTCATTTTAAACAAAACAACTTAGAAGCACTCTGGTATTAAGCTTGTACTTCTTTTCGCCTTTCACCATGGTATCAGAGTTATTTTTATAAAATATATTACTGAGTATGGCAACATTCTCTTGCTTGAAATTCATCAATGGCTCTCCTCTGCCAAAATATTCCTTAGGTTGTCAGCTCTCTGTAACCTAGCTCTGGCTTACAGCTACAGACTTACATCTCTCCACTCCCTCCATACCTTGGCCTTGAAGTTCCATGCCCCTGCAGGTTCCCAGCCTCCTTTCACAGAATCATATTCAAAAACCAGCAACACTATCTTCTAGTAAACATTCTTACCATCGATTCTTTGTCCAGAGTCTGTACACTGTGGAGGGTTTAATGTCCAGTGTAGCTGACGCTGAAATTCAGCTCGATCTTCAGTATGAATAAGTTCATACACACTCTGATGTATGACATCAGACTTAAGACAAAAGATATAAGGAAGTAAAACAAAAGTACTGATTAAAAAAAATATGGTTACTAAAGTAATTTCAAACCTATCTAGATTGGTGGGTGCTTGTTAGTGGTGAAGGATGCAAAGGGAATGATTGCCAATGCTCCTCAGTCATCTCAGACAGGAAAAGCCAGAAAGAGAAACTAGCACTATAACTGATAAGCCAAAGTTTACTTGCCATCATTTCCAACATGAATGCTCTTGCTCAGTCAAATAAGTCACCTCTCCATTCCTTAAATGCAAAAATATTAAGATCTGCTTTTGTTCCTTATCCATTTATAGATGTTTTAAATCCTACCTTTCCCATAAATCTCTCTCTGAACAGCCAGTCCTCTTTGAGTTCTCTAAGCTTACTAGTATTCATTATGTATTTCCTTCACTATTCTCTAATTTTCTTTGTACTACATTTTCACTTCAAAAGTTGAGTCCATGAGAGTAAGGGATTATCCCTTTACCATATCAGAATCCTGCCCCTCCTCTTGTCTCTCAGCATTTACTACAATGCTAAGTCCTTAGTGTTAAACCAGTTCTTCTAACCTTTCTTTAGTGCAACTCATGGTAAGAAACACATTTTCCATTCATCATGTTTGTGTGCACATGCACACATGTACATATGCACACAGAAAAAAGTTTCACAAAACACTTGCCTTTATTATTTGTTATATTGTATATTATTTTATTTTATTCCATCCTAAGCAACTAAAAAGAAAGTTTGATGGTGTTCCACTATATCAACTGCTTACCCACTAATAAGTCACGACTTGCAATTTTAAAAACAGTACCTTAATCTACCATCCATATTAGATATAAAGTTCTCTTAAAGAATAGCCATGGGCCGGCCCGGTGGTGCACTGCTACAGTGCGCCGCTTGGGAGCGTGGTGGCGCTCCTGCCGAGGGTTCGGATCCCGCATGCAGACCGGTTCCCGCTCACTGGCTGAGCGAGGTGTGGGAGCAACACCGAGGGTTGCGATCCCGTTGCCGGTCCCGGTCCGGTACGGGCGCGACACTGAGGGTTGCAATCCGTTGCCGGACATGAAAAAAGACAAAAAAAAAAAAAAAAAGAATAGCCAGGCTATGTGTATATTCGAGAAAAAAAATAGATTGGAAAATGGCTAATCTCTTTGATTTTCTTAACTGATATAAATCACAATATCAAATCGTGATTAAGATATTTATGAAATTCATTAAGTTTCAAACAGGCTTTTCAATGGACCTTAATATATTTTGTTTAAAATGCAAGAAAAGTGGAACTTAGGCTTTGTGGCAGTGACTAAATTCCATTACTTTAGTCATACACACTTATGTCTTTTAGCATTAAATCACCTCTATGCCACCCATTGCACAACTGCCAGAATTATCATCTGACATACAAGTTGATGCATACACACTCCCATTAATAAAAATCTTCAGTGGCTTCCATTGTGTTTATATATAAAACAGCGTTATACAGACAGTGTTATTCCGACCAATAACCTTGTGAGCTTGTTAGAAATGTAAATTCACGGGTCCCACTATTATCTACTGATCAGAATATCTGGGAATGGGGCCCAGAGATTTTATAAAGTTTTATCAAGCTCTCCAGGTGATTCTTACGCACATTACAGTTTGAGAACCAGATATATAAGAACAGCAAGCATTCAAGTGTACTTCCAATCTGCTCTCAAATCACATTGAATATTCTTGTCCCTCAAATATGCCAAATACTTTACAACTCAATTTATTCACCATTCATTCATTCAATAACATTAATCAATCCAGACATGTTTGCTTCCTTCAAGGACTTCCAGTCCACTGCTTATAGTACTTCTACCTTCCTCTTATATTCCATTGTCCACCCATCTGAATCCTACGTATTCTTTATTTCAGCTTAAGCACCATTTTATTTAGGATATCTTCCATAATCCACATAAATCAGAATTAAAGGTACAAACCAGAATAGTATTGTACTTGTACCTTTACATAGCCCCTCATTCATTTCATGGTTGTCACATGTCCTCTGCTATCTGTAAGTTATTTAACAGCAAATATTTTATCTGTTCCTGTTAACCCTATCTGCCTTAAAGTTTCTTATGAAATTCTTAATAAGTGAAGGAAGAAACACAGTAATCATGAATCACATAAACACTTAAAGAAATTACAGTGCAGCAAATTATTAATATTAGAAAAAATGTTAGCAGCAAACATATAATTTCTCCTTTACAGTATATATATTTGGATACTTTACATATAAAAATGGTCAACTGTGTGCCAAAAGTGTAAAATAGATAGTTCATTTTCTAAGAAAAATTTATTTTAAATGATATAAGAAAAATATATGTACCTGCTGAAACCCTAGGTAATCTTGAATAGTAGGAGAAGCATAAAAGACCAAAGCATCTGTAGTGACAACCAATACAAAGCCATTCAGAGCCTACAAGGAAAAAATGTTATAAAATTAGTAATGTGACTTAATATTGTTACTCATAAATAATGACTATCAGCTAAAGGCTATTACTTTCACCTCTGAAAAGTCTTCTTTTCAAAATAGCCAAATATGCTTCGCAAACATAGACACACTACACACACACACGGAATAAGACGAATCTATTCATACCTTTTGATTTTTTTAAGAAAAAATCAGCAAAATTTGATGCCCAACCACAATAACTTTACTAGAATATTGTTTTCAATATTTAGTAGAATAGTCTTTTTCATGTTTCAGATTTTCTTTTAAACATGGTGTACCTGTTTTCCTTTTTTTTTTAACCATAAACTATATAGACATCATTTACTATAATCTGTCACACTGCTTTAAGAGGAAAATAGTGGACAAAGATGTTGATTAGATCCTTAAAGAAAGAAATGTAGACAAGAGAAAATTTTTTGTGTGCAAAGACATTTCAAGTACAATTTGAAATTTGGATACTCAAAGTATTATAAAACATTTAAAAACTTTTATAAGAAAACATAATGTACATAAAATACATACAATTTATATATAATTCAAATATAATACACATGTATAACAAATATACAGTAAATTTAGTTAATTAAAATTTAATATAAATTTTATAATTAAAATTTATATTTATGTTTAAATCTATCATTATATATGTGTTATTTCTATTTGCTCATAGTACATCTGACTACTATATTTATGTTTAAATCTATCATTATATATGTGTTATTTCTATTTGCTCATAGTACATCTGTACTGTTTCTTTTTCTCTCTGCCTTGCCTGCTTTTGGCCAATTATTTTTTATTATCCCAAACTCTTTTCTTCTTTAGTTTGGAAATTATACTCTAGTTTTCTACTCTTTTAGTGGTTATAAAAGTCCAATATTAATAAATACCTTTATTCTCCTCCTGGATAACAAAAGCATCTTAGATCAATTTAAGTGTTTATTGCCATCATGTATTTTAATTCTATAAGCCCTCACTACTTCCTGCTTGAGTTCAATTTAGTACTTGATCTATTCTTTGCTTTGTCATGGCTAAATCCTTCTGACACCCTCTTTCTCCATCTAAAGGGAAACATGTTACGATTTAGTATAAGAACCATACAGTACGGAGTCAGACAGATTTGGACTGAACTCCTGTCTCTTACTCCTGTGTGGCTTTGGTTATTTATCCCTTCAAGCTTTAGTGCTATCATTTTAAAAGCTGACACTTTCTTGGGTAGATATGATAACTATACCTCATCTTAGTGCCTAGCACAGAGCTGGTGATCAATGAATGTAAGGTATAATACTATAAGGTGTGGAAATGAGCAAATAAGGATTTACATGAATATGCTTTGAGAACTATAAAGAGCTATAAAAATAAGAGTAACTAGTTTATTCAACACTTAATAGACTATTATATACCAAAGAGGATATAGGCTAAGTACTAAGACTCAAGAGTTAACAACATTTTGCCCGTGTGCTTATGATGCTCACACAAGCTAGTGGACACCCTCATTACCAAATGAGGTAAATGAAATACCGTGACTGTCTCTCTTTTTACTCCAATTACTTCGACCTTCAAGATCCTTGGTTCATATTATATTTCTGAGAACTCAATTACAAAGATACCAACACCAATTACATCCATTCCTTTTTCTAAATGCTCTTTTGTATTCAAATGGTTTAATTCTCCCAACAACCCAATGAAGTGGGTGCTGTACTAGTTTCACAACTGAAGAAACTGAGGTAAAGAACTATATGGTAACTTGACCAAAGTCATACAGCCCTACCCACTTAACTGTCATGATATGCTGCCTTTACCTGTATTGATCGCAAATTGCTGCATGGATCTAATTCTTCAACCACATTGGGCTCTCAGGTCCTTGACTGCAGAAATGATATATAATACCTGACAATTTTCCCAGGATAAAGAATGGTGATCCCACCCATGGGAACTTGAATATTTAACGATTAACATATCCAAACTGAATATATATATATATATATATATATATATATATA